CATCTTCAAAATCAGCTCCCCAAAAATACGCCACAGCGTTTTTATTCTTAATTATATTCCTTTTCAACCCGATGCCCATGTCCCCGTCTGCAATGTTGGTAAATGAATCGCTCCAGCCTCCAATATCTAGACCGTGCTTAAGTGTGATACGGGAAAGACGTTCCACAAAAATGTTCATCAAGTATCGTTTGGTTAACCTATGTTCCGTCTTCTGACACTCTGGGGAGTCCAACCAGGCCCCATTAGGAACCTCGTCGCCTCCAAAGTGATAAAAGGTCAGCGGCTGTATGTCACTATGGAGACGAGATAAAGTTGATAAAATGAAATCGAGAAATGTGTAAGTGGATTTTAAACAAGGATTAACGGCGTCATCACTAAAACCTTGCATGGTGGTATACGAAGATTTGTCATTAAAATCACTGAGAAGAAATCTCTTCGCTTCCTCTTCTTTCCCCACTTCCTGTACAAGTCGGTCGAAACGAGCTCTCATGCTTTTCACAGCTGCGTGACTGTGACCCGGTAAGTCGAACTCTGGAATTACTTGAATGTGGCGTTCTGCTGCGTGACGAAGTATTTCCCGATAATCTTCAGTAGAGTAGTACCCAGTGCCCGAGGTGCTCGTATCGACGCCTGAGCCGAGTTGCGTCATAATGCATTTCTTCTCTTGCAAATCGAAGCATCTCCTTGATCCAATCTGGAAAAGAATTCCAAAACTTATAGTACAGATGTTAAGCAGCATACTGTCTAGATTGATGAAGAATAAACAGACGGGCAGCTATGATGAACTTATTTTATCCACACCACGGGAACTTTAGAAAGTGATGTAATCATGAGCGAAAAAAAAAAAACTGACCGATGGACCTACACACACACAAAAATCCCACGCAGACGGATAGAATCCTTCCAAAATAACTTCATTCCCACATCAAGGAAAAAAAGTGCCAAATTAATTTCCCTTACTGTTGTTAACTCTTCGAGTCCAGGAATTTCTAGTCTCCATCCCTCGCTGTCCGACAAATGAAAATGAAACTTGTTCATCTTATACATTGCCATGGCGTCCAGCACCTTCATTATTTCCTGCTTGGATTGAAAATTACGAGCAACGTCCACCATGAACCCGCGGTACGAAAAACGAGGAGAGTCTTTGATAGAAACCGCTGTAATTTGGCCACTTTCGTTCACGAGTGCCAACAGAGTCTGAATACCGTAAAACACCCCACTAGCGCCTTGGCCAGTTATGGAGATCAATTCCTTGGAATCATCTATTTCAAGACTGTATGAATCGTTTGCAGTGGAGGAAAACCGATCCTGGTTTGATTGCAAAGCTGTTGGTGCCAGAGTCAATAAAATGGTTTTTGAACTTGGATCGAAGGACGGAGATACTTTTAATCCAAGGTTATCTAGGAAAAAAAAAAGCGAAAAAAAATTATTCATTTATTATCATCATCATCATCATTATCATCAAAAAGAAATGTCTCTACTAGTCCTAAATGCTTACTAATACCTTCCTACATGCATTTTATAAAAGCAGTGTTGTTTTACTGAGCATAGCAACTTTGCATTCATAGCTTATTAGATATTGGCAGGAGCCCATTGGGCTCCTGGTAAAGGAAACTAAATGACTGACCAACTGTTTGTCTGTGTGTGTATATGTGTTAATGTGTCTGACTGCTGACTTACCAATTGATTCTCTTACAAACTGACTTACTGCCTTAATGACTAGCTGACTGACAAGCTGCCTGATTAGCATATTGACTGTCTGACTTTCTGATTGACTTACTGGCTATTACTATCTGACAGAAGAACTAGCTGACTGTCTGTCCTACTAACTGACTACCTGGCTGATTAACAGACTGGCTGTCTGACTGACAGACTGACTGATTGATTGAACAGACTGGCTGACTAGCTGATTGAAGTGACTGGCTAATTGATTGGCTGACTGGCTGACTGACAGACTGTCTGACTGGCTGATGAGCTAAATGACTGACTGGCTGACTTACCAGCTTACTGACTGGCTGCCTGGCAGTTAAGAGTTAATTACTAGATATTTTATGCTTAAAAACCACCTGACAAAAATTTCAATTCGTTCTGTAACTGCTTGTCTCCAGACACTGTCCATTCCTTGTTAATAGAGACTGACCGAGGGTACTTATTTCTTGATATTTCAGATGGTGAAGGAATAACCCCTAAAGGGGCATGTCCCAAATCTTTTGAACCATCTACACCAGGGCGACTGTTACTCAATGGATCAGATGTAGAAACAAAAGAGAGGTCTTCATTAGCTGTAGCAATTATTGTTCTTGGTTCTAGACCATTGGAAGCAACATACCAGTTGGGTGATACTATATAGCGAGACCAAAGAAAAATTGGTAATGATGTAATTGAGCATTTGAGGGAAGCTCCAGGTGAAAAGGAATTGCTATAATTAACAGGTTCAATCTTATACACATGTCCCACAACATGTCCAAAAGTAAGGGTGTTATGTTTCTCAACACCAACTTGTTGTAAATGTGGGTGAAACCACACATTCAAGGAAAAGTATATAGTCCATCCATGGTTCCTGATAGTTTTAGCACCATTATTAGAAATTGTAATCATTGCTTTTGTCTTTGATAGAAATTCAAAGTGGACTTGAATATATTCAGCCATGAAGTTGATTTCTTCTTGGCTAATTCCCACCGAGGAGTTTTTCCTCTCAGTATCAGCAGAGTAACTAGTTCTCTTTTCTTTTATTTTGCCTCCAGTCTCTGAAGAGTTGTCCGGAAAAGGTTGAAGCAGAGGGCCAAAGGCCACTGAGAAGTTAACACTTTTTAAATACATACTCCTAGATTGTTTTTGATCATAATGCTGGTGACCATCTGTAAAAAATATAAGTGACAATATAAGTAATAAGAAAAAAACAACAACAAACATACTTGGGAGGAAGGTGAGGTGGAACAGATTATTAAGCGTCAGTTTATTCCTAGTAAGGAAACTTTTTCCCAGCTAATAATATAAACTATTATTTTTACCATTATTATTGTTCTTTCATTATTTATTCTACATACATATTCTTGCTATTAAAAAGACCTTTTTGAGCGAGAATATGTATATAGGATGAATAATTTTTGACATTTTATGTAAAAAATTTTCATCACTGTTTTTCTTCATAAATCTTGAATTTACCAAAAGGGAAAAGATAAAAGGCTGTAAAATGATCACTTATTGACAAATAAGAGATCAGACTCCCAATGTCTCCACATTGTTCACTATTAATATTATCATCATTATCAAATTGATATTATTTATTTTTATCAATATCTTATAATTTATAATTATCATTAAATTAATTCATAGCTATATTATCATTAATTTCATAATCAGGACTGTTATTATCATTTTGAGTAATTTAAAAAAAAATTAATAACATTATGTTAGTGTGTAGAGTGATGTGCTTCTCACAAACAACCTACATTTTGTCACCTATTTCAGACATAGAGGGCAAAGTCCAGATGGGCAACAACCAATCAAGGAGCCCTCTTTGAAATATTATCCTTTCCTTTTGCTCAGTGTATCTTCCCTTATACGAGATTGCAATATATTTTTGTTTAAGAGTCTATTGGAGATACAACAGTTTCAGTTTGCTTTTCTTAACAAAGTTATGTAGAATTTTTTATTTTCTCTCGGTTAGAGGAATGGCAGTAAGCGTACTCTCTTTCACTACCATGATTTGGTCTCATATGCGCTCTCTCTCCAACAGGGAATGGGGGCGTTGATTGAGACCAAACAACAGCTTCAAATGAGGTTACAGTGAGCATGGCAACGATGCATTTTATTTTTGCTTATAAGTCTTTAGACAATAAAGAGAACAGACCATAAAATACCTGTGTGAGTTTAGATAAATTATGATTTTTCTCTTTCTCTCGAAGTGAAGTAATGCAATATTTTTGTTCTTTTTAAAGTTTTGAAAACATCAGGGCCAGGTTGTTCAAAGCTGGGTTAAGATAACCCAGGATTAGTGTGAAATTTTATTTCAGTTCTAAAAGTTTTAAAAAAAGATCCAGTGTAATTTTTTGGTCTACAATCTTGTGACTGCAAGCTCAAAAGAGAATGGAGACAATTATCCCAAACAGGCTTTTGAACAAAAGAAATAAAGTAACCCGGATGTCTATCTTATACGCTTGACATTTAATTTGAGAGTATTTCTCCAAATTCGACCTCTTCTTTCTTTGCGGTTTTAAAATCTATCTCGTTCAAAACAAATTATACCACATGATGCAAATTTATTTTACGAGCTCAATTTCTATGAATGATTTTTGCAAAGCACATACTTTGGCGTGCCTGATAATGTAAGGAAAGATCTTCGTGTAACCCTATACTTCATTGTGCATACAATTGTTAGATAAAATAAAAACAACAACATTTTGAATGAAGTTATTTTTAATTTGACCTGCGGCACGAATCACAAAACGAGCTACAATTTTTGAATATTTAAAACTTGAAGAAGAGAGTAGAATGACGCGAACGAAAACAATACTATGAGGGACTTGGGCTTTGTTTAAGAACAGTATGGAATTATACGATAATCTTTCTTCATATTGCTACAGTTTAAATCTAGATAAATTCTGCTACTTACTTTGCCTAATTCGGTTCAACACAAACCCTACTGCAAGTAGACAAACAATTTTGAGTGTCGTTTTAAGAAGGTGTCGGCGACCTCGTATTGTGAAGAAAGCGGAATAACACATCATGGGTTTCCAACTAGAAGGTGATACACAGACATTTGCATAAACTGAGGCATGCGTAGCAACAAGCAACAAGAATTATTCTTTTGGCAGTGGAGGGGGAGGGAGGGGGGTTTAGATGAGACACTTCGTGTACCTAATGATTATGTTTTTATTTTTGCAACAGAAAAAGAGCATAACTTTCAAACGGACGAAAACATCGCATTGCTTCACCTTAAGAGAAAGAAAAAAACCTGTCTGAGCTCACACAGGTATTTTGTGGTCTATTGTCATCGGTGCCCCTCCTGCTATTTTCTCCCCTTGCAGCAGTTGTTTCGTCTCGTCACACAACGCCATCTATTCCCCGTTAAAGAGAGAGCGCGCAGCGTGATGAGACTGAATAACGATTGCGGAAGAGACTGCGTTTACTTCCGTTCCTCTAACAGAGAGAAAATCAAAATTATTCGTCTAAAGTTAGTTACCTCAAAAATATAGTCCTACATGATTTTACTATGAAAAGCAAGCTGAAACTCTGCTGTGTCTGCAATAAACCTTAACCAAAGATATCTATACGGAATAGAACTTGGCCAAGATCTATATCTGAGCATGGGTAAACTTTCGAATCTATCGCCTTTTGGTTATCTTTCCCACGGTGTTTTCTTTTTGGGCCTATGAATATTACAGGTGCAGTTGCTGGAAACCCTAGATTCCAACACATAAAAACTGTAACAAAAACCGTTTCTAACCCACCTTCGAGCCACCATAGTCAAGGAGCTATTTTCTGAAAAAAGCCTTCTTTAACGAGTTGGTTCAACCCACCCGACAGAAAAGGTTCGAGAGCTGATTCTGATAGACAAATTCCTGCTCTTTAAGATAAGATACTATGTAGTCCCGAATTGTGGTACCGCTAACGAGATAAATGGGGCTTTATACTATGATTTGGCACTTAGCATGGAAACGAGGCTAATCAGAAATTGACCTCAAATTTCATCTTCTTTCACTGAAGTGCCCCAAACCCTTCTGGAAAAATGAAGATCATGTACCTGCCTACAATTTGAGTGTTCACATGGTACGACAGCTTGTCACGTGATTGTCACATGGCCATTTTTTTCCGTCAAAAAGCAGTCTCCTTTGTCGATCTTGACATGTTTGAAATCCTGCTGAGACTAAGTTGGAGGTCTTATTCAGGCTTTTCATCTTATGTGCCAACAGAGAAATCATGTACTTTCGAATTACGCTAAAAAAAACATTTGGATGCGTAGAACTCCAGAAAATAGACAATATTAGTGCTGGTGTCTCTTCCATCACTGTTTACATGGAAACGAGGCTGGAATAAACGCAACCTCAAAACGGGTCAAATCTTTGAAATAAAGAAGGATGCTGTGAAAATATTGAAGCATATGATGGCCGAAATTTCTATGATAGCATACAAAAATTGCTCCTCTAGTTTTGTTGAGGTTGTTTTTTTTTCGGTAAAAAAGAAAAAGTTCTATGTTAGCGTGTAGAGTGGTATGTTGCGCGCACCAATCAGATCGACGCATCTGGGTATGTATCTCGCATCAGTTATATCGCAACATTTGGATATCTTACACCAATCACAGAAGAAAATGAAAATGTTGGACTAATCAGACTTTAAATCAAGATTTTTTTTCCTGACCTCCTGCATGATCCTTGCAAACCTCGCCGACAGTTTTAACCCAAGGGCATATCTGGAGAGAAGGGTGTGCTTATTAAGCCATACTATCACCGAACTATCACTTTTATTTTCGATAAATATTCGTTTGAAAAATAAGTTGTCCCAAGTAATGGGTCCCCGGTTGTCCAAACGTTGCAGCTTCATAGAAGCAATAAGGGGTGGGTCCACTGGGGTGTTTCCAAATTAATGGCGGCAAGCGTAAATAATGAATGGCGGAAGGAAAATTTTAGAACAGCTCAATTGCTTTTGGTAATCTTAGGACGCGACTTATGTCAAATTTCATAGATCCTTTGAAATGACAGGATTATGAGATTAGGTGGATGTTCAAGCGTACTCCTCCTTTATGCAAAGTTCAACAGTGCCATAGATAGTCTAAGTAAATTAGTACTGGTATAATTTCCCTTTTCTTGGTGCCCTAAGGTCGCCCGGAGCCGTCTAAAACAGGAATTTTTTTGTCTCCTTCCCCCACAAATGTTGTTACACGGAGGAAAATGACCGATTTCTGTAGGTTCGAGGTTAAAAGCCATTTATTACTCTTCTAGCAAAGGAAATAATCATTAAGGATTTTTGGTTGCGAGACAGCAAATAGTAACTTAAAAATAATGATAATCATGTGTTGTTTAAAAAAAAGCGTGAAAAAATGGAAAGAGGAAGAAAACAAAAGGCCGGATGAGGTTACGTTACATGGGCGCGTGTTTGCGTGCAGACACGCGCGAACAAGGAAGTGTGAGCGCTGTGGCTCCACGACAAGATGGCGGTCAACGAAGGTGACGATCTAGCATCCCTAGAAGCCAAGACAGTCAACGATGGAGCGATCGTGGAATTGTTAAGGAGAAGATACAGCCACCACATGATTTATGTGAGCTGAATTTCAAGCTTCCTGAGTCTTTTTGGCCAGCCTGCTTTTGTGCCGCGTTCATTGCCATTTTGCAAGTTTGCGCGTAGTAACAGGTTCTGTTCTGCTTATGGGAAAACTTTTGTTAAATCTTCACTTTTGCAGACCTACGTCAGCGATGTATTGCTCTCAGTGAATCCTTTTCAACATCTACCCATCTATGGGCCAAAGGTAGACTTGCAATATTTAGATATTGATCGTTGTTCACACATTAAATATTAAACAATAGGAGATTCATATCATTTGTGCGCGCATATTTGAATTCGTTCTCATGAAGTAGACAGTCCTTATACCTGTAGGTCCTCAATGCATCGCTAACTTAATATGATTAATTTACTCACTGTTGAAGAACACAGAAAGGGCGCTTGTGGGCTGAAAAAATTACGCATTTATACAGCTTTGACTTTAAATAAGCATGTACCGCAGCTGTACGTGGCAGATAATCTCTTTAAGTGGGTAGGGAATTGATTTTCCCCACCGTTGCTTCAATTTGGTCTGAAATAGCTTTAATTGAATAAGACAGATCTCATATAACACAAATCTGTATTGGTTTAAACGGGTGAAAAGTTCGATATTTCGTCGATGCCTTTGGATCAGTGTCAAGAATCAACATTAGCTGTTGTGATTTACATAACAAAACCCCCCCCTAACTAACGTCTGGTAAACACTCGGAGTACTTAAAATACTGAGCATAGTTATGCAAAATCGTAAGCTAATTAATTTCTCTTTCTGAACGCAGCTATTGAAGAGAAATATTTCGCGATTCGTAGATCTCGATTTTGATCCTGAATTTATCAAGTTTTGACATAACATATATTTCGCAAGCTAATATCATTGCTTATATTTTGCATCCCGCGCGCACCAATGTGCGATCTATTTCAAACTACCCTTTTAATTGATCTGTCGTGCCTCTCTTCCGTAAAGAATTGTTAATTTTTCATTTTACCATAGCTTCAATAAATTTCCATAGATTCGGCCTCGACGAGTCTTTGATGAATAATTCACAAATATTATTTGACCCAGTATTGAAAGTTCCTCAGCTATATGGCTTTGCACTGTATTATTCGATCAAGCTAGAGTTGAAAAACTAAATTAAACATCTTACATAGATTAATAGATTAATTAACATAGTTCAGGTTTTTTGTCCAATAAGTATACAAATTTGCATTTTTAAAGAGATTAAATTGTTTATATAATGCAGAGAGCTTAATGTGATTGTTTGATGGATATAAGTGCTTAATATATAAGTCTGGACAAGTCATATTCGTCATGAGTCCTTTCATATACTGTTTAAAACTATGCAAGGAAAATGTCACCAATTTCTTTCAAAATACGCAGACAAAATTCATGGACTTCAAGAGTGACGGCATGATGAACTTAGATTTATTTAGTACATTTAAAGAAAGCTAGATTAATTTGATACAGTGTGAAAGTTATGATGATTCAAGAGTGATACAATCTTTATAAACTTAATAAAATATGAGATTTCAGAAAGTAACCATTCTTTTACACAGAGGAAAGGAAATGATTATTACAAATTAATTCCAAGATAACACTTATTGGTGAAGTCTACAATCATGATGTTGATTTGAAATTTATCTGCCACAGTTAATGTACTGGATTCTGTAGGCATTCACAAAGTGACTATCAGGAGCATTTGAGATCTAACACCCCCCCCCCCCCCCCCCCCCCCCCCCCAGGATGGGATGCAGCAGTGGTACATTACACATTTAACCACAAGTCTCCCCTCCCCTAATACCAATACTTATATTATTTTTAATAACTATCCACTGTTGTGGCTGCCTGTAATTATTTGCCACTAGCTGCCAACATTCAGGCAAATAGTTGTTTTAGTATAATACTAAAACAGTGAGATGATATTAAAAAAAGATGATTTAACTCATTTGTTCTGACTTGCAAGGATTAAAATATTTTTGGGTAAAAGTCACGTGTGTTGCTTTGAGGTGAATAGAAGAGGATATTCAGAGTTTGAGTAGCCAATCAAAGCATGCCTTATATGCTTTCATTGTTTTAATATGCATTACATAATTATAGTTTATAAGGGGTTCAATAAAACCACACAAGTCTTTTTACAATTAAAGGAGAACTAAGATCAAACCAGACTGATATCATTCAAATCTTAATTCAATTTACTAAGTATATAGACAGTATTTCTGAACCACAGTTATAAATTAATGTTGTAAATATTTTCAGGCTATAAAAGCTTACCAGGATTCACAGCCTAACCGGCAGTTGTCACCTCACGTGTACTCAAAATGCAAGGCAATTCTACGATCAATGCACCATTCCTCAAAAAGCCAGTGTTGTGTGTTGACTGGTGATAGTGCATCAGGGAAGACTGAGTCTCTTAAACACCTCCTGGACTATGTTGTCAGTGTTGTTTCACCCACAAGTACCAGTTTGAAAGCCAAATTTTCAAAGGTACATGCATGCACCTTTTACATCATTGATTTTTCTTTAATAAAAGTAGAGGATTGGAATACATGATGTTTAAAATAAAGGCAATCTAAAATGTAACTTAAACTGGTGAGATCAATACAGAAAAAAATTTTGCATTCTTGTCCTGCATAATGTTTATGTTTAAGATATAAGTCTTTTAGAAGGTAAATAAAAACAGTAATGCATACCTCATGTCACTTATGGATATATACCTTTTAATGGTTTCTTTTAATCTCACATGTAATTAGGTACAGCTTATTTTGGAAGCTTTTGGAAATGCAGTAACAGCACAAAACAGAAACTCAAGCAGGTTTGCTATGTTCTACGAGGTGTACTTTTCACCTGAGATGAAGTTATCAGGAGGTAGGTTGGATTGTGTGCAGATTGGTGTGTCCCTATTATTCTTCCTTAGAGAGGGAATTTTCTTTGTATTTCTTGAAATTGCTCTTTAGTTATTCTGACTTGTAATCACTGAAACTAAATGTACAGATTTTATACCTAAAGTATGTAGTCAGTGACTGTCATAACTTAATCCACATAATTACTTTTAATCAACACTGTTTTTGAGATTTTATATTGCTTCTATGGCTGATGAACTTAGCTAATCTGTTACTAAATTAACAATTAGGCTTACTACATATATATTGTACATGCCTAATTGGGCCATTCAAAACTGTGATATGGAAATCTGTTAAGTTAAACAGTCAGGTTCTTCAACTAAAATTTTTTTTCTGTGATTGATTATTTTCCAGGAAAGGTGCACCACTACATGTTAGAAAAATCAAGAGTTGTTCATCAAGAAAAGGTGTTTAAAAGAAAATTTATTATTAATGATGAAGAAAAAATGATAACATTATAATCATTATTAATAATAATGATATTGGCAGTTAAGAAAAAGGTTAAAAGATGCTCTTCGCATGCAGGCACATAATTTAATAGCTCTGGCTCCTTACCAGAAAGTGCATGTTATCATGCAAAAAATTTTAAGCAGCAATCTTTTTAGTCTAACATGTTGCTAAATTAATAATTAGGTATGTAAAGTATGCAGCAATACTTATGGATGCCTTGCATTTAGTGATAGTAACAGAGTTAAATATTTTTGATGTGTCATAGGTCGTGCATCTTGTGCATGGTACATGCATGTTAGTTATAACTATATATGATGATTTCGCTCTGACGAAGGGCTAATTCTTGAAATGTCAGCTTTAAAACTCTTTACAGTGGCCAATTTAGGTTATCAAATCAGTGGATGATACTTAATTACCTAGTTATACTCTCCCATCAACACAGCATCACTTTGTATATTATATGATGTCAGCTTAACCTAGTAAATGAAGTTATTTCATGGCTTTCACCAGTTTTACTTCATGCTAAAAGATATATCAATTTTTTTTACGAATGATATTGAAAATTTCCTCTCAATAAAGGATTTACAGATGATATAGTAATGTGTACAACATTTTATACATTCTAGAATAATTTAATATCAAAGAACTAATTAATCGATACTCTGCAACTTCTTAGGGAGCAAAGAACTTTCATGTATTCCATTATCTTTTGTATGGATTGGATGTAGATGAACAGCAGGAGTACCACTTGAGTTCTGAATATCCTCACAGGTAAAATAATTTAATTGCA